TAATTGTCATTTCCCGAGTCGTAACACACCACCATTCCAAAATGTATTTGTGTTATTAAGAGGGATTCGGGATAATTTCGTATAGTCTGTTGATGTCTTCAACAGAAATAGGATCAGCCTTATTTTTTAAATTTCCCTTCCCACCCCTTTCCAATTGTTTTTCTTTTGTTGTGATGACTTTGAAATTCCGTATGTGTCGAAATTTTAAAGCGGTAATCGTTACACATCAGGTGCCTGTCAACACTACACGAAATTCCCCTAATAGTACTAGGTTTTACATCTTTTTCATCCTCTCCTTTCACATTCATGAAAAATATGCAAAGAATACACACACATACACTACACGCATGCATCTTGTACACAGGGGAGGCCGTCCTTAAATGCCCTTAGCTGCTAATAGGACGTTAAACAAAATCAAAAAAAAAAACCCATCACATTGTGCCTTATTATTTTTCTCTTGTGTCTATAAATCTTGTACATTTCAAAATATCATATACACAGGCACTACCATACAAATGAACTGCGATATGCTTACACAGAAATAATGTGGAAAAAAATTGGATCAGCGTCCAGAGACAAGTTCCAGTGTATCCTGTAGAGTAACTGTTTTTCTTGATAATATGCCTTTTTTAAAAAAAAAAAGACTACATGAAGGAAAGGTGATTTGTGTTTGTGCTTCCTTAAGTCTTGGAATGAGTATTTGTTATAATCTTTGAAGAAGACCTTTCCGGAACAGCTTGTTTAAAGTTGAGGTTGAAAAAGATAACAAATTATATGACCATAATGTCTATAAATGTGTCATCACGAGGGACAGAAATGATTTTCAGGTCTTTGAAGGTGTATACCACAAGTTCACATTGTTTACGTCCTGTACAGTGATAACTAGGAGATTGGTCTAGTATAAGTTCCCCATTGATAACCTTTAGGTGAAGGACAGTGTCAAGGGTTACCTCACTGTCTTTTGCACGATATATATCCTTTACCAGTTCATTATCACCAAGCAGAGCATGGGGAGAAGATGCTAGGTAGGGATGGGATTCACTGATTAATGAACCATATTTTTGTGTTTGTAATCCTGTTTTGGGTTCTGTCCCCTGGCCGAGACATACCAAAGTCTTTCAAAATGGTAGTTTCTACTCCTGCTTAACGCTCAGGAAATTAGGAGTGGGACGACTGGTTCGCCCGTTGTCAGTATAATGTGACCGGGTGGGGCGTCCTGCTGGGTGTCTTCGGCAGTATGTCTAAGTGAGGTAGCACTATAAAGTCGGCATCAGTTCCGCGCTATCACAAGGAGACAAACACGAACATATCGCAGCCTCCCAAAATACACACACATACATTACACGCATGCATCTTGCACACAGGGGAGGCCGTCCTTAAATGACCTTAGCTGTTAATAGGACGTTAAACAAAATCAAACAAACAAACAAACAAAAAGTAATCCTGTTATCTCCTCAAACTTACTGAGAGCAATTGCTTCATATGTCTTTCCATGATGTATGGGTGCAGGGGATGATGCTGTTTCTTAGCCATTGTTTGAACATAAAGTGCTGCTATATTTTGTCAAGGTTCTTGCTAACTTCAACATATTTGTCTTAGTTGTAGCTTTACAGATGCGGCCAAAGTTTGATGAGTGAATTCTAGTACATCTTTCCAGGAACCAACTTTTATTTGTAGCCTGACCCCGAGTATGTTGTTCTACCTCATTTATCTCATCAACAGTTATTTTTGTTATTTTCATTTTCTGTAACCACATGTCTGATGATGTTAATTCTAGAAAATCATGATCTGTATCTAGGGCATACGGATTTGCAGGTTTGAAAAGCTGGGATACGGGATATTCATTTACTCTGTTATGGTTTATCCACACAGACCTAAAGTGATCCATGTAACTTGAAAGATTACGGTATTGTTGTGGGCGTGGATCATAGTTTACACATGTACACGACTCCTTTGCTAGTTGGAGGTCACAGGCTTTAATAGGGCTTCCATAATACGGCTTGGTTTTGTGGATTGCAGTTTCTTGGTGCAAGTTTCCTAACTAATTCATTACAGGTTGAGAACTTAAAGCATGCAAAAAGCACAGCACATATATGCTTACAATGAGCTTTTGGTCCCATGCCTGCTGCACATTCGCACTGTCCCTCTAGCACACAACCTTTTTTTGTCTACGCACACATCCACAACATACGACACACTTTTCTTCATCTGCATTCTGATTTAACGTTGAACTTGGTGTCTGATGCCAAACGTAAATATCTTAAAATCTGTTTGTATACAAAACATTTGCGTCACTGTCGATGGTCTTTTGCATATCACGAAGGTAGGTCTCTACTGCAACTAATGTCAAGTCTGTTAAAACTGTGTCATTGTTGAGGTCTTTATAATGTTCAAAACTTGGCACATTCATACTGAATTCAGGCTCGAGTTCTTCCCTACCAAAATCTTTGTTTCTATCATATGCTTCGAGTCTGAAATAAGTAAAATAATATATATATATATATATGTATATGCATGCAACAATGTGTACCGTTATATATCTTACACTGTGGCTAGCAGTGTTATGTCACAGGTATTTGTAATGCAGGCCAAAAGAGAAAGGCAACGAAAGGTGGTAAATGGCCCTGTTGTGACGCCTAATTTAGAAACCATGCTATTTCAAATGTTCGTCCATAAAAGTTTTATTATCAATATAATTTTTGTTCGAAAATATCGACGAAATGTGCCACAATAGACCAGTAAACACATGGACATTTCTAGTCAATTCAATATTTCACAATGGCCACATGCCTCGACCAGCCTATTTTTCAAAACAAAATGTTCGAGCCACAGTCGCAGCTGGAAGAGAGATATTGGAAATGTCTCTTACAAATACGTATATACGTCAAACTAACTCATGTCTTAAAACATGGGTTAAACTCTACATATCAGTAGACAGTAAATTCGTAACATTGCCCCGTTCTTCGTGGAGCATTCGGCCCGAATAACGTCATTAATGGATTGGAAATTTCCATTGTTCGTTGAAGCACGTGCTTAGCCTGTCAAGGTTAGTTGATTTGCCCTTAGAATGGCTTGGTTCGAGATTCTTACTTCAGACGTAAAATACCTCAACAAAAAGGGACATTTAATGAAAGTAAGTGTAATAATAGAATATTAAACATCTTGATGAAGGATGGAGCATCAACGCCAAGGATTCCGTAGGTTTAGAATTTATTAGTTTCATGTTTCGGTTGGCTAGGCCAACCGTGTTCAGAACAATTTTACATTGAAAAAATTGAAGCTAAGGTGTAAATTACGGTTCGAGAAGTTGATTGTTCTTGTCACGTGATATACAATATTGTAGAAATTAACTGGCTAAATTATCGTAAAAGTTGAAGGTAAAAGCAGTTAAAAGTGTGTACTAGTAAAATAATAAAGTTAACCGCTCTCTCGTAGAGTGTTTGTAGTAATTGCAGAGTTCATCAAGACAAAAGGTAGAGTCCAGGACAGAGGTGGAACCCTTGTGTATATACTTATAGTCTACAAAACTTGACGATGTAGGTTTAGTGATATGATTTTCCGACTTTGAGTCAGTGTCACTCAGAGCAAGGTCTTCTTCTAAACTGGTGGTAATAGTTTTCTTATAATCAGTGGTGTCTTGTACAATACGGAAATTGGGTTTGGCCAGCTTGTTGATAGCACAGGCCTCCGGTGGTGGGGTCCATTTGTTAGGTTTCTTGGCTTCAGACTGCGGATTATAAACGGCAGAAGATATGGTCTTTAAGGTCTGAGTCCGGATGTGCTATACGTCTGTGGATTTTGCCAACATCAGAACGGCAGTAGGATTTAAAACAAATGTTACAATGGTACCTTACCAGGTTGGAAGAGTGTTCATGGTATGTGTGCCTGCGCAATGCAGATAGGTTTCGAACAGTTGTCGGGCAGCGTGGACAGTGTAGACTGGTCTTAGGTGTATTAACGGTAGGAGTTTGTAACTTTCGTGCTGTAATTTTCGTCTTAGCCATGTTGGAGATTGAGGTCGGATGGTTCTAAAGTTTTTAAAGTGTCGATCCACGTTTCCTCCGTTCTGAGACGGATGTTGACGTTGGCCGTTGTTGTGGTGATGACAATGATTTTGACGTCATCAATGTTGTGATTGTCTGACGTGAAGTGGCGGGAAACGGGTTTTTATTGGTTGGCGCTACGTATGTCAGCAAAGTGACCATACATTCTCTGGCGTATAGTGTTGGAAGTTTGTCCAATGTATTGTACGTTGCATTTTTGGCATTGGAGTAGATAAATAACACTGGTAGATTCGCAGTTGAGACTCTGATGGATATTAAAAGATTCTTTGGTAACGCTACTGTTAAAAGTTAGTGTGTCCAAAATCTGTGGGTAGGTCTGGCATTGTTTACCGCAAGAGCGGCAACCAGGTTTGCTAGTAGATCGTTTGACGGCCGCTCGGACAAGTAAGTCTTTGAGACAAGGGGCTCTGCGGTGAGCTATGGTGATTCGGTGGAGCGACAAATGATTGTCCAAAAGTGGTTGAGTTAAAAGACCTATATGCCGATCTATAATTCTCTTGAGCGGAGGGTTGGCCGTGTTGTATTTGATGATGAAGGGGATTTTCGGAAGACAAGCGGCCTTGTCCTGGCTCAGTAACTGCATTCTAGGGATGTCTCGTGCTTTGTTGATGACTTGAGATGATAGGTGATTAGGATACCCACGGGCTCTGAAAAAGCCGCGTAGGTCACTACAATGTTTGTCATATTCAGACAGGGTACTGCAAATACGACGGATTCTGAGAGCTTGGCTGAATGGTATACTCTGGATTTGGTGTTTTGGATGACATGAATCGTAGTGTAGGTACAAGTGTGCATCAGTGGGTTTGGTATACAACGATGTTTGGAGAGTGCCATCCTCCAGTTTGTAAACAGTGGTATCTAGAAAATGGATCTGTGATTTGATTTGCTGACCTCGTGGGTGAACTTGATAGTGTGCTGAAAGTCGTTGAGGCTACCCTAAAAGGAGTCTAGTGACTCGCTACCGTGGGTCCAGATAAAGAAAATATCATCAATGTAACGCGACCACACGAGAGGGGAGAGGGATTGGGATTGCAGAAAGGCCGTTTCTAAATGATCCATAAATAAGATAGCATAGTTCGGAGCGCAAATGATCCCAATACTGGTACCTTGAATCTGAAGGTAGTGCTGGTTGTTGAATTCGAAACAGTTACAGGTAAGTATGAAATTTAGGAACCTCAATAGTATCCTAGTCGGAGTAGATTTGTCTACTCTAGAATCTTGAGCTTTTTTGGCTGCTAAGATACTGTCATGGTGAGGTATTGACGTGTGGAGAGCAGATACATCAGCTGTTACAAGTATGCTGGACTGTGGGATCCGTCCTAAATTGTTAATTTTCCTAAGGAAGTGGCCAGTGTCTTGGAGGTTAGAATCCACATTTTGTGCTAAGGGTTTGAGGAAGTGATCTACCGTGGCTGATAATTTTTCGGTAGGTCCTCCAGAGGCGGAGACAATGGGTCGGCCTGGATTGCCGGGTTTATGTATTTCGGGTAGAAGATAGAACAATGGTGTCCTGGCCTGTTTAATAACATTGTATTTGGCTATGTCAGGAGGCAGTTTGCTTCTGTGGTTCTGGATGAACTGATTGATTTCAGATATAATCTGATTGGTTCTGTTGGCTGGTAAGAGTAAGTAGTGTTCAGGATTGTTGAGTTGGCGTAACGCTTCATTGATGTAATCGGTTTTGTTCATAAACACGATAGCGCCTCCCTTGTATGCAGGTTTGATAACAAGATCATCACGTTGTTGGCGGTTTTTCAATGCAAGACGTTCCATCTTGTTCACGTTTACTCTGGTAGGTTCAGGTGGATTAGAGGTTTTAATCATGTAGTTGGTTACATTTATAAATGAATCCAAGTTTGCATCCAAACCTGGCCGGGTTGTCCAGCCAAAAGTGGGTCGGAAAGGGTTATGTGGTAAAGTATCGCGGCCATGGAAGAAGATTTTGAGTCTGAGGCGTCTGAAGAATAATAAGGTATCCGTGCGGGTAGCTATAGGGTTAGGTGGCTTTGGTGTGGGACAGAAAGACGGACCTTTAGAAAAAAATGAGAGTTCGTCCGGAGTGAGTGGTATAGAAGAAAGGTTCACTACGGCATTTTCACTAGAAAGATAGTGTTTAGAGAGCTTCCGGTATTTCCTTCTTTTGATAAATTTACGTTTCATGGCTGTTGGTGCGGATAAGTCCATGATTGAAGTGTAGCTAAAGTGAGTCGATAATAGGCTAAAGTAAAAATTACGGTTTGGATGGAGGTTTGCGATCGGAATATTCCTTACGAATGGCCAAAGCAGTCGATGATAGTAAATGACTGATATGATCCATTTCAGTAGGTTCAGCGTGTGCCTTGAGGTGATCTGTTAAAACCTTGATTTCCTTTTCGATTGCCTCGACTCTAGACGACCAATATTCCTTCAGAAGGGCTTCTACATATTAAACGTGTGAAATGATATGTATTTACATAATGAATATTTCCTATTACTCTCGCTTTCTCACTGTACTTTCTGCCCGCAGATAAAAAAAAATCATCCACATTCATTCAAGTAATGGCGGCATGATAAATTGACTTTTTGTACAGTGCATGTTTTTCCACCTAACAAGTTAGTCAGGTAGTTATATTATCTATCTAGCCTTTGTATATATGCATTAACAGTTACGAGAGAATTGCTATGAATCGCTATGATAGTACAATGTACTAATGATATTTATTACATACTTACTAATAAGTACGGGATTTTTGTATATGTCATGCGACACAATTGCTCTTGCCCATATCAGCTCCCCGCCGTATCACAACCCAAAACCTGTATCAGCCCGCAAAACCCGTATCACACCCCAATTGGAAATTTTTCGTTTTTCAATATTTTAATAGAATAGTTTATATCAGAAGATAGTAGCTTTTATTAGTAAGTGGGTAATAAACAAAATAAAGCATGCCTTTTTCCATATCACACCCGGTATCAACCCTAAACCAATATCAGCCCTTGGGCTGATATTGCAGTCTCGGGTTGATGCTGGGTGTGATATGGAAAAAGGCATGTATTATTCTCTATATATTAATATGATAATGAACAAAATACATGTTTATGTGAAATTCATATATATGTTATATTTATTTTTAGACAAACAAACTTGCTGAATGGATTTATATGATACAAAATGTAAGAATCAAGTGTTAAATGATAAACTAATTTACAAAAGATGATACTGATTGTCAATTTGAAATATAATTGATAACATATAACTTAATCAACATAATGAACTTAGATAATTCTGGTATTCACTCGACACATATTTAATAATGATTTCAGTTTCTTATCAAGAGTTCAGTATGAATATTATTATATAGATAAGAGAATGATGATAAAATAACGTATTAATAAACTCTCAAGTTCTACATGTGGCATTGTCACAGTTTTTTTAGCACAGTAGTATGATGAGTGACTTTGATTTTGTTGACATATTTTACAGGTCATCACTGAAGTTCAGCATCAGTGATTTTATTTTCTGTTTAACAATGATTTTCATTTCCTTCAGGTCAAACAACTAAAAGAAGATGTGGAATGATGCAGGGCAGGTCTTTCCTGGTTATAACGGGTCCATTTCTCAAAAAGCGCAAATGTAGTGGAACATTTGTTCACTCCTGTCGACAAAATAAGCGTCAACCTGATTTCTTGGTAGGGCCTCATGGGCGAGATTTGTGAAACTAAAAGTGAAAGGATGGACGACGAATCAACCTTTAAAGTGGATCTGCTGGTCTCAAACCTACGTCCACCAACATTTAAAATACACCTACTGTCCTGACTCTCTCTCGGACTTTGTAGACACCCTCTCAGACTTTGTAGTTTAATAATGTTCTTATTTGTAGGTTGGTACAAGTTTGGTAGAGCATCTGAGGGGTCTGTAGGAATATACTCTCCCACCAGTGGAATGGATCTGGTATCTTCCAGCCGGCCAGTAGTAGATGGGGACACTAATAATACATCTTCTAGGTCTCTGATGCTCTCCCGAGGAGCCTGATCCATACTCTCTGTTGGCAGAGATGAAATGGGAGTGGGAATATTTAGATAGCTGCTCATAATTGTTGATGGTATTGGACGAAGATGAAGAAGATAAGGCCAGAGCCAGCTCAGGACTTTTCAAGGATATCCTTCTGATGGGTATTCTGCTACTGGGACTTTTCTTAACATGAACCAACACAGGGGGATCGAACACCGTCACGGTCTGGGTTGTTTGTGCTTGGACTGGAGAATTTGTAATGGATGATATGGCCTTTCTTTTTCCCGGTATGTCGGTCAATAGAGTCATTTTCCGCTTGGTGGCTGTTGATACTTTCTTCAGAGCAGTCTCCGTTGTTGGTGGAAGGTCCCTCATAACTACTTTAACCTTTTCATTCCTGGATGATTGGAATTCTATACATTCCCTCTGCTCCACTGGGCCGAATTGCATATTGGGCCTCTTCACTGTGGTGATGGGGGCCCCACAACCATGCTTGGTGTCTGGTCGTGCCATCAGTCTTTTGCATTTATGACACATAAAAGCAAAACTAGAGTTCTGGCTAGTCATGTGACGTTTCACATGACTGTGTTGACGACTTTTAAAATTCTCGCAAATTCCACAGAGATATCTCTGTACCTGGAATAATAAGAACCCAAGGTAAGTTGTATTTCAAAGTGGTAATGTGTGTGGGAATAGTTACATATACATGATCAGATGTCCAGGATAGTATTTCACTCTATATCCAGTTGGGTTTGTTATCTCCCCTGTATGGTTTGAGTAAGTCATGGTGATCCACTTTCATTTTACTTTTCTTAATTCTGTATAACATATCATTAATTCGTTGTGTTATGAGATATGGTCCTTTCCATGGACAAATCGATTTTCTTCCCAAGCATTTAAATTGGGGATTATATAACCATACAGCGTCATTTGGCTCATACAGGTGTTTGTGTTTCTTTTTACTGTATTCTTTAAGCATATTTGAGGCTTAAAGGTTTAGATTGTTTCACGCGAAGTAGTGTATAACTTCAATGGATTATTCGAGTTTGTAAGCATATTCTGATGCTAATTATTGTTTTACTCACAGGTTTTACACGTCCATATATGAGATCGACAGGCAAAGAGCCAAGTTAAAGCTCCATGATCCGTTCTAACTTTGACAAATTGTCCATATAAATAGTGATTGAAATTTTTAATAGAACTGACTATTGCCAGAAGTTCTCTGTGTGTAACACAGTAACGTCTTTCAGCAGCACTGAAGACTTTGCTATAGTAACATATGGATTTTTCTACACCATTTTATACTTGTGATAAGACGGCGCCCATACCTATGTTGGAGGCATCAGTGTCTAGAATGAAGATTCCTTGATCTTTCAATGGAAAAGATAACACAGGACAACAAGTTAAAGCTCTCTTCAACTTGTCAAATCCATCCTTACAATCAGTAGTCCAAAGATACTTGGAACTCTTTTCTGTTAGTTTGTGAAAGGTTTAGCAATGTCAGTAAATTTTCTATAATATGAGCACAATCCAAGGAAGCTTCTTACTTTTTTTACATTTGAGGGTATAGGCCAACTTTGAACTGCTTCTATCTTAGCAGGATCGGTACATATTCCTTCTTCACTCACTGTGTGACCTAAGAAACTGACTTGCTTTTGCAATAATGTACATTTCTTTTTCAGGTTCGCATCACGAAGCTGCCCTGCAGGTAGGGCGTAATAATTGTACCTGCTGCCCCCAATTGCATGATCGTAAGAGGCGACTAAATTTGGGACCTTATCTCTTCTCTCCCTTCTAAATAACTTTCTTCTTCCTAATGTCTCCCTTGACAATGCCTCACTTTTGGCCATTTGTTGAGCGTTCGCCCCTGTGAGGAAGGCTTTGGGTTCTGTCCCCTGGCCGAGACATACCAAAGTCTTTAAAAATGGTAGTTTCTACTCCTGCTTAACGTTCAGCAAATTAGGAGTGGGAAGACTGGTTCACCCGTTGTCAGTATAATGTGACAGGGTGGGGCGTCCTGCTGGGTGTCTTCGGCAGTATGTTTCAGTGAGGTAGCACTATAAAGTCGGCATCATTTCCGCGCTATCACAAGGAGACAAACACGAATATATCGCAGCCTCCCAAAATACACACACATACACTACACGCATGCATCTTGCACACAGGGGAGCCCGTCCTTAAATGACCTTAGCTGTTAATAGGACGTTAAACAAAATCAAACAAACAAACAAACAAACGCATCACGATGCCTTGTGAAGATGTGCCTGAGATTTTCCAAGTGATCAGAAAAGGCTTTTGAGAAGACGATAATGTCATCCAGGTGAACCATACATATTTTCCAGGAAAGTTTTGAAAGCACTTTTTCCATTAGTCTTTCAAAAGTAGCTGGGGCAATACATAAACCAAAAGGCATTGTAATGAATTGCCAAAGTTCTAGCCCAGGAAAACTAAATATTGTTTTTGCTCTATCTTCAGGTTTCATTTTAACCTGCCAATACCCACTTTAGGTCTAAGGTTGAAAACCATGTAGAACCGCTTAGGGCATCTAAAGTTACATTTATTCTGGGTATAGGGTGAATATCTTTGACAGTAACTTCATTGAGTTTTCTATAGTCTATATAAAACGCGTATAGTATTGTCCTTCTTTTTAACCAAGACAATAGGTGAACTCCAGCTACTTTCAGACTCTTCTATCACATTTTTCTCAATCATAGACTCGATTTCCTTTTCAACTTGTTCTACTTGAGATATAGGTATTCGTCTAGGCTGTTGCTTGATGGGAGGATGTGTCCCTGTGTTGATTTTGTGTTCAACCAAATAGTTAGACCAATGTCATCTGATGAATTGGAAAATGAATCTCTAAATGCATATAAGAGATGCTTCAATGCTTCCTTCTCAGCTGATTTGAGATTTTTAGCAGACTCTTGAAATAATTGGGTAAGGTGTTCAGGTAGTTCAATAACATTAGGGTTGTCTTTCCCTTCATCAATTTCATTCACAAATGCTTCAACTGGGGGGTATTTCAGTAACTTGGCTGATCACATCTTGTGTAGCCACAACATAGTTTTTGTATAATTTACAGTTTTCCTCGTTCATATTTAGGATTCTCAATGGCACTGTCCCAAAACTAGAGTCTACAACAGCTTTTGCCACCAAGACCTGGTCTTTCAAAACCATAGCGGGTATTGGTTCC